TCCAGAAATCCACAGTAGAATTGTCTGTGCACTCGTATTTAGCGATCTTCAGTTGGGTTTAGACATCTGTAAAGTGTTGATTAGTCTTCACCAGTTCTTTAATCAATGTCAGCCATTCGTTGTTATCATGGTCAATCTAGATTCGAATGACCAGATGAATAGTCTCATTAGAACTGAAGATTACTCAGTTATATGATTTGGAGAAGCTTCTCAGCTTTTAATATATTCACCAAAATAAATTAATCCAATGTATCAGCAATAATAAAACTTTATTCCACACAATTTGTCTAGATCATCTGACTGATATTCAGCATAAGAAGGACAAAACACAAGGTATTTTATAATCCTTTTCTTGTAGCGATGATGGGCATTTCTCGTCGTGATTGTTTGAAAGATATACTCATTCTGAAAAAAAATCGCTAACGTAGACTTATTTGATTCAAACACTGCTGTCTAAAAAATACCAACCCAATATTCAGCAGTTTTTGATGACTTTTGTTGTAAACTTCAGTCCACGGTAATGACACTAACGCACGTTCTGCGTACTAAACAATAGTGACTCGTTTCCGAACCATTAATCAGAACGACTAAAAGGTACTTTGAATGCCTCATATTATACACAAATTATACCAATAGCCTATGTTGAAAATTGTTCCTGAAGTTCCACAATTTTGTTTTCTCACCTTTCGTAACACATTATTATAAAATATCAAAATATCAGTGTACTTTTAGTAGATTGATAAATGTTTTATTATCAGAAGAGGATCTGCTGTGAGACAGTAACTTACTGAAGACAATAGTGGACAGTGGCGCAATTTCGTGAATTGGTTGAAGTTAGACATTAACACCGTTGGATTTCGGCTCACTGGTCTAGAGGTTAAGCGTTCGCGCACGGGACCGGTAGATCTTGTTTTCGAATTCCGCGGGGCGTGATCGTGCATGCGCACTACTGAGGAGTCCTTTACTAGGACGGGACGGCCATCCAGTGCTTCCGGGTTTCTCACGGTGGTCTAGCTTCAATTGACTCATAAATGCAACTATTAAATGTTTTATTCCTTAATGAAATCTAGCGTAGTTACTTGACGTTTACTAATAACCTAATGAATTAATCATCAACTGGTATAAATCTGATTATCTTATCAATCTAAACCTTTTATTTGATTAAATAGATCTAAATATATTCTCATAAACTATGTTTAAATTTTACAATTTAGTATTTATACTTCCTTTATCTTGTTATACCCTCTTCTTTTTGAATGAATAAAGTATAGCGTTTAAACGATAACCATCTACATTTATTTTAATCTTACCATCATTTTGACATATTCTATGTTTTATATTAGTTATTTAAACGTAACAAGGGAATTAACTCTTATTCTTATGTTATCATATGCTTGTTATTCATATGAATTTATTGATATTTATCTGATTAAAAATAAATTGGGGTTATGTCTTCTTACAAACCATATCCAAGTGAAATATTATTGAACATCATGGTATATAAAAAACTTGTTTCTTTTTAATTTGAGGAACTCCATCACTACACTCTGTTAAATACATAAATTTTTATAATCTTTTAGTCATTGTAAAAAAAAAAACGGAATCTTAACTATTATATAGTAACCATGACAAATTAATTTCTACGTTTAGCGCTCAATGATAAATTACTGTGTAATACTGAAAGTCAATAATTTATGTATATATTGCAAAGTAAAATGAGTTGTTTATTGAAAAATGTAACAAAGCACTTAAAAGTGATAGATAGATCTGATGAATCTTTTTGATCAAGAAAATAGGAAATTTCTGACTAAGAGCGTTATGGAATGGGTATACATTGACGTTTATTAATCATTGTAAAAATCAATCAACCACTACTAAATTTTGCTTTGAATAAAGAGATTTATATCACGTTACCATGAAGAGGGAAATTAAATAGGATAATTTTGAAATTACAACTGAAAACAGTTGTCCATAACATATATTATGATGAATATTTCATATTTAGGTAAAGTCCATGATTCCATACAGGCCTGAACATCGCATTTACTAATTTGCATGTGTATGGATCAAAAATTAGGGAGAAGAGATCGAACAATATAATCTAGGCTGGTGAAACATGACTAAATTGCATTATGAATTAGTTAACATCACATGACCAATAAACAGTGAAAAGAAAACCATGCTCTGTGACAGTGAAACACATAATTAAAACAGGTCATAAGATTGACCTTACATCGTCCTTCAAGTATTTATGTAGAATTTGTTGATGACGCATTTTTAGGATTGTGAAAGCCTTGGCCAACAACAAAAAAACTCCTTTGTATTTATAAGAGCAATTTTTTAACCTTGAATCTGTCCTGACAATCTTTAATCCACTGTAATAATTAGATTCATGTGACACCTTTTTTCTTCTAATATTATCTTTTCTCTCTATTTCTAATTATCATTATTTACTTCTCTGAACTTTTATTCGACTGACCTTCATTAGTTGTTAAAATATAACAAGTATATATGTGACCAGCTTCTAATGCCACTGCTTAATATCGTAAATTGTTCGAATATATTAAATGGAAATCATTGGATGCTGGTACAATGATTTCAAAGGTTAAATGCTTGTAGTGAAACGTAGAGGTTTTTAGTTTAATATGGCTCAGTAACTTAGAATCTAAACATTGAATAAAAAAGGAACTGGTAATATTTCGACTTTCATGAAGCATGAATTAAGTAGGATGGAGATTTTATACAATGATGACATATGGAGTTATTTTACCAGTTTTTATGCCATTCATATACCCACGTCAGTATGTATACATTGATTCAACATTTATATAGAGTCAAGTATGTTGAATGTAATGAATGAAGTAACATTTCAATAAAGCTATCAGGGTGAAATACATCCATTGGCGAAGTTCATTCAGTCAAACTTAATTATTCAATTTGTTATCAAGTATAAACTGTTTAAAGATTTTATTCTCTAAATTAAACAATCGTATATAGAAATATAATAAACTATTTTGATATTTCTGAAACCACAAAATATGTTTTTCCTTTGTTCATATGTATTAAATCCACTGCTAGCCACTATCCATCTTTGCTTATAATGCTTGTAAATTAAGGCAATATCGAGGCATACGCACAGTATGCACATAGGCCAATAATAGACTGATAAATTTCAGTCCTAAAACATAAATGGGAAGATTCAAGTAAAACAATACCAAGTGAATTAGACTTCACCCCATTGCACAAGCAAGTGGCTACCAGGGCTCCGTAGCTAAGTGCATAACGCGATAGTGTTTGAAGCGAATGGTACTGGGTTCGAGTCTCAGGCTGAACATCAACTCGGGTGCATCCAGCTGACGAGTCCCGAAGAGGAGGAAACGCGCGTCCTGGATTCCACTGCTAGCCACTATCCATCTTTGCTTATTATGTATTAAATACTTTATTTACACGTTGGATCTGATGAAGATTTGCTTATTTACACTCGTTTTCATTAATACTAGTGTTGAATATTTTATTCAGCAGTCGATAAAGAAAAGTGAATAAGTGATCATATTATCATCACTATCGCATTTGAAAACGTGAATGCAGATATAAGAAAGTTTTGTTTTTCGTCACTTACAAAATAAATACTAACTATATCATCGTCCAATAGTGAGTGAAACAACATTTAAATTATATGATTAGTAAAACGTTATTGTTGTCATTACTTATACCATACTTATCAGTCAGTGAGACTAGGAGTGTAAATCGAGGAAGTCAGATTTACAAGCAAATGCCGTTAGTCAACAAAATAACCCAGAGTTATTCAATACGACTAAAAGCTGATTGACGCGAAAGATAGAGGTTTAGAATCCTCAGTTTACAAGAGTAATCACTTCAACTACGTTATTTCATATTTGAACAACTGACACAAGGAAATTACCTGACTAAATCAGAGACAAGAATAAATCAGATATCCTAATGGGAAAGAAATGGTTGATAATCACAATATGCAACCTGCCCGATGCTACTCCTTTACTAACGAATTTAAATTTAGCAACATACTCGGAGTAAAACATATTGGAATGATGTGTTACACACTTTGATAAGTTGGTTTGCGTTGTTATTGACTTTATTCTCTTCTCACCACCTCGTTCACTGTTAATTTTCTATACTACTTATTAATATTCAGTACGTACTTGTATTCCTAACAATTCCCAAGCTTATGTTGTGTAATATTCTAAAATATTTACCGGTACTTATAACATTTATCGTATTTATCATTCTATCTGCTTTCTCTAAATCTCTGTATCAGTTATTCGTGATTTTGCATAGTCACTGAATCTTTGTTGAAACGCAAAGGTTCTGTGGTGTGAGCTACTTATATTCATATAAGTAGTATATAACGTGCGTTAAAAGAACGTAATGTCCGGCAGCAGAAGATGGCGAAGATCAAGAAAGGAAGAGCAAGAGCACAATGGAATTGTAAGAAAACGCATGTACAATGGAATGGGAGACAATGGATTAGTGTTTGCAACGGGAACAGTACAGTTTCATATGATGGAATGATATTTTGCAAATTGACGATTGACTTTATGGTATTCATATTTTATTGAGACAGTCTCTAATTTTTGTGCTAAATACAATCGATTGTCCCCACCCGTGTTCTTGTTCACTACAGTTCCTATATTTGTTTGTTTTAGGTTCCCTTTTTGCTTGTTGATAAACTGTTATCAAGATTAGACACAGCGATTATTTGCACTATCCTAAGTCATAATTATTCTTTATGTTATCACTGCAGGGAGTCCTTTTTATTTCAGATGAGCTAAGAGCCACAGATACTTCACAAGTTAAGGTTTATAACTATTTTCTACCTATTCATCGATAAAGAACCCCATTCCAGACAGATGGTTGTTTCGCACATATCTCAATCGTTTGATTAGACGCTTCGGTAGATTTAACATACCTATTACTCAATATAATTTTATAGCATAAACCTAAGTATATAAAAATCAGAAAACACGATACTTTACGTCATACTTAAATAGACTTGATAGTATGGGAAATTCGGTAGACATCAATTTACCATTAATAAGAGATATTATGATGCACTCATATTCATGGAATTCATGTAACACAAGTTTCGATAAGGTTAACAACAGCCAAAATTATGGTTAATTCAAATGCTTCTATTATAAAATTATATCTGTTAAAAAAGTTGGAAATTAATTTTCACATCATGATAGGATTAAATGGCACTTGATTATTTAGTGTTTTCTTCAGGTCGATTAGATGATAATGGCAAAATTTCAACTCATTTGTAGCTTGTTACTTAACCAACTAGCATATTCTTCAATTTCTTCATAACTTTCACAAAGTGTAATAATGTTTCTTGATATAGTTGAATTACTGTCTACTGGAATGCCAATATATCCACCAGCTAATGCAGTAGCCATACAACCAATAGTATCAGTATCACCGCCTAATCCGATCGACAAGACAATGGAACGTAGAGGAGGTGACTAAAAACATAAAGAAAGCAATACTATATATATATAATTTCTTGAAAATAATTACAAACGTAATGCTTAACCAGTAATAAAATACAGAATGATAGAGACTGGCCTTAGAAACCTTTCGTATGAGATATATTAGACTCCAACTTGGTGATTTAAAGATATATTTACCGAGAGAATTGACTGTCATCAGTTAGATTATCAAATAGGGTCGTATGCAACTGCTCAACATTTTAGGGATCAGTTCAACTGGCCTTCAGCCATACTTCGTTTTCCCAGGATCTCTAGTCAACCTGAATGGCAAGTTAATGTAGGTCCTCCGACTCTTTACAAAGTTGAAAAAGTTATCGGGAATCTGAAGCGAGGGGAGAGCAGCAGGCCCTGACAGGTTTACTTCTGAGATTTTGAGGATGGTGGTCCAGTATTAGCAGTGAGATTAATTGAGGTCTTAGGTAGAATTTGGGAACTGGACTCAATCCCATCTGACTGGTCTCAATCACTGATTGTGCCAGTCTATAAGAAAGGGCAAAAGTCCTCTTGTGATAATCACAGAGGAATCAGTTTGACTAATATAGTGTCTAAAATATTAGCTTCAATAATACTTCGACGCCTAACCAAAGCTCACGAAGAGCAGACTAGAGAAAATCAGGCTGGTTTTCGACCTGGACGTGGTTGTATAGACCAGATATTCACACTACGTCAGGTCCTAGAACATAGACACACATTCAGACGCCCCACAATGATAGTATTTCTCAACAATGCAAGCATGTTCGGGATGCCATTCTCTCCCTCGAAATGCAAAATGTTGCTTCAGGATTGGGTTGCATCGACACCCGAACTAATGATAGGGAGTGTAGTAGTTGAGCGTGTTGTCGATCGCTCCACTTATCTTGGGAGTCTCATCAGTCCTTGTAGTCTGGTGTGACGAAATCTCAGCACGGATACAGGAGGCTCGATTAGCGTTTGCCAACTTGCTTCATTTATGGCGTAGGCGAAATATCCGTCTATCAATCAAAGGACGTGTTCACTGCGCAGCAGTTCGTCCCGTCCTACTTTATGGCAGTGAAACATGGCCGGTAAGAGTGGAGGATATTCGTAGGTTACTAGTATTCGATCATAGGTGTCTTCGAAACATTGCTCGTATATCATGGGACCATCGAGTAAGTAACACAGTTGTTAGGAAACGGGTACTAGATAAGGATGGCAAATCAATTGATGAAGTAGTAAAACTTCATCAGTTGAGATGGCTGTGACACGTGTTACGTATGCCCAACTGCCGACTGCCTCGACGTGCGATGTTCAGTGGTATAGGAGTAGGTTGGGAGAAAGTTAGGGGCAGCCAGACCAAAACATGCCACAAATCCATAAAGTCACTGACAAGTGGACTGAGTCATGTTGGTAGGTGTAGACTACCTGGTTGGGGACCGCGAGATGATAGCAACCGATGGTTAGAGACCCTGAATGACATGGCTCGAAATCGTTTGCAACGGCGCAGGTGCATCTACTCATTGTGTTCTCCCAAATTCTAATCTTCTGAATTCTTCATGTCCCTTTTTTCCTCTTTCCAAATTTATTTCACTGGATTATACTCTTTAAATAACATCTCCAAACCCTGATCTTCCCGATTATTGCTTATACTCTTACTACCTCTACCATTACGGGATTTGAATCGACCACTGCATCTCTGTGCTAATGTGGCAAGGCAACTCGAACTGATGTACGCACGTACGAAGTTCTACGTTGTTACCGACTGAATTTAATGATTTTCCAGTTTATTTCCATTAATTATGGTAATTATCTTCACATTTACAAAATAGCCTTCAACTTATAGTGGATTAAAAGCACATCAAAACATAAATAATATGTCATTAAAAAGCAAACAAAAGATATTTCACATTAAACTCGATTCCGTCTATAGGTTTTAAACTGCGCAGAAATACATATAATGCAGTTGGAACAGAGTTGATGGCTTTTAAATCATTACCTAGAGTGCAGTAGAAAAATAAGTAATAAATTAGTAAAGTGTTATGATCATTATAACAGTAATACAATAAATTGTGAATAAAATGAATAGTAATTTCGTCTTGTTAGTCGCGGTCATAGTTATAATAATGATAATAATAACGTTGTGTGATTATAATATGTAATAAGTGATGTGTTGTCAAGGTAAATATGTTAAAAAATTCACTCTGAATATGGCTTATGTGACTGGATCTACAGGAGCAGTTGAATTGGTAAACACACATAGAGGAGCCCATAATCAGTAACCTATCCTTAATTTGTTGTGTAAGTACTGGTCTGGTTGAGAAGATTACATGTATGAGTTAGAGCAAGTAAGTAATCTATCAAGTTCCTGTTTACTTTTAATTATTAGTTTATTTACTTGTTATCAAAATCAATCAGATTGACCATTGAGTATGATTTAAACCTTCACCTGTTGTACAGTGAACGAAGACTTGGGTAGAGTAAACCAATTTATTGTAACATGCAAAATCACAGTGCATTTATAAAAATATGAAAAAAATACACTGGATACAACATTTGCACCTCTTGCTGAATTATCTCTGGCGAATTCCATCATTCTTTTATTTCTGTTGTTACTCGAACTCCTGTTTTTTTATTTCTCTTCTCCTCATGTTCCTCTTTTGTCAGTAAGAATCCTTTTTTCAATTCTTGATACATACTACATATGTCTGTCCGTATAAGTATCACATACCACAGTTGAACGATTTAATGTGTAGTGATTTAAAGAACCACATAGCACTCATGTGATTTCAAAATACTAGCTTCAACTACAATTTTGTAAAAGTATAATACGGTGGCTGAACTTAACTATACCTTAATTTTGATAAACAGTATCTGATTAGTGTACCGTGTACTCTACACTTTCTAGACTGTATGTAGTTTTGTTATCTTCGAGTACACTGTTCACTTTCGTCAGTTAAACAATCTGACGTTTGTACTTTGTATACGACTAAGCAGTCTTACGGTGTAATGTGAAGTAAGTGTCATATTCACATATGTATACAGTTGAATTTCAACTTAAACCAGTTATATATGTTTGGATTGTAAATAATAGTGTAGCTAACCAAATATATGATTCATTGATTGAGAACTGACTGATTAAGTGAATAGTTTAAAGCTGTAAAGTCAACATAGGCTAAGGAGGATTCATGTAGAGAGTACAAAACTAACTCTTAACTGATACAGTACAAAACTATTTTTTCACACTATCCTAACGTACGGCTTATTTGGAGAGGTAACGTCGTGGTTATAGCATTCGACTTTTAGCCACTAGTTCCCAGATTTGAACCCCAGTATACCTAATTTAGTTCAGAAAACCAGTTAGTACAATTAGCCTCCATAATTAAGGTTTGGTTCATACCCCAATGAAGCGCTCCTAGGGTTACTGCCAATCCAGAGCCCGGATAAGGGAGGAGGGGTGGGCATGGGGTTAGCAACCCCACCTCGTAGAAAACAACAACGCTAAAAAGACGCTAGTCAGAGGAAACAATTAAAATCAATCGAGTTGAATAATTTCCATTTGGAAGAGTTATATATGTATTGAAATGTAACATTAGGGGTAAGACATAATGTGAAACAATTGAAATTGATGACGAAAAGAATTAGAATAATAAGGGTTATCAGTAATGATTATATATATATATATATATATATATATATATATATATATATATATATATATATATATATATATATATATATATATATATATATATACAAGTGCCCATGAAATACAGCTATGTGATTATTAGTTACAAATAAGAGAAGTAGTATATATAAATATTAGTATAGGATATATAATAGAATTAAAAATCGATAAGATGTGCTATGTAATAATTGAACAGGATTTGAAGAGTTTACATATATTCAAAGAAGTAAGGGAATGAAAATAACAACAACAAAGATTTATCAAGGTAGTGATAAGTTGACCATTTTCCCTTTCTGGATTAGTAAATCAGGTTTGAGTTTTTTATTGCTGCTGCTTCGGCGAACCGGATACGCTGCATTTTTCTCTGCTAATCATTTTAAAGGATTGTGGAATGTTAATGGAATGCCTGGTATTAGAAAGTGTGAGAACTATCGAGGCGTCACACTATTATTAGTACCGGGGAAAGTTCTCAACAGTATTTTGGACCGGATGAAGTATTCAGTAAATGCTAAACTTCGAGATCAATAGGGCAGATTCCGTAAGGACCGGTCGTGTACAAATCAAATTTCAACGCTATGGATCATTGTTCAACAATCAATTGAATGGGACACGTCACCATACATCAACTTCCTTGACGATGAGAAGACGTTTGACGGCGTGAATAGGAAAACCCTATAAAGTCCTCTTCGGCATTATGGTGTGCTTAAAAAGATTGCCAACACCACACGGAATTCATAAGACGGACTATACTGCAAAGTTGTGCATGGAGGACAGCCCACATATCGGTTCAAATCGAAGGTGTGCGTCAGACACGACTGCCTACTTACGCCCTTCCTCTCTCGTCTGGTGGTTGACTAGATCACGAAGACCAAAACTGAGTGGAAGCACGAAATAAAATGGACAGCTTGAAAGTAGTTAGACAATTTGAACTTAGCAGATGGCCCAGCTATTTTATCCTATAAACACCAACGATTGCAGGTGAAAACAGTAAGTGTAGTAGCAGCCTCCGAAGCAGTAGGTTCCAACATACACAAGGAAAAAGCAAGATCCTCAAATGCAACACAAACAGCACCAACCTAATTACACTTTATGGAGAATCTCTGGAACTGATGGAAACTTTCACGTATCTGAGAAGCATCACCAATGAACAAGGAGGATCCGATGAAGACGTAAAGGCAAGGAATGGCAAAGCGAGAGCAGCATTTCTACAAATGAATAACACATGGAACTCAAAACAACTGTCAGACAATACCAGAGTAAGAATATTCAATACAAACATCAAAGCAGTTCGACTATACGGAGCTGGAACTTACAGAACTACTAAAACCGTCATCAAAAATGTACAGGTTTGTAAAAGTAATTATCTACGCAAGGTATTCAATGTTCGTTGACCAGATACCACCAGAAACAACGTATTATAGCAGAGTATAAACCAGCATTCATCTAAAGATGAAATTAGGAAAATATGCTCGAGGTGGATAGGACGTACACTGAAGAAATCACCAAACTGGATCAATAGGTAAGTCCTAGCTTTGGATCCTGAAGGCAAAGGGAAAAGAAGAAGGCTAAAGAGCACATCGTGTCGGGAATAAGAGGCATAAATTAAAGGAATGAATAGTGATTTGAAAGGCGAGTTCAGGACGGAGTTCAATTAAGAATGCTGGTGGGAGGCCTATGCTCCTCCACGAAGGGTAACAGGCTTACGTAGGTAAGTCATACCCAAGTAACCAGTGAATGAAGTAATGTATTTTATAATTCAGTGAATATTAATCACAAAAGCCTATTTATAGACAAAACTAACTCAGATGAGCAAACAGTAAGAGATGAAACTGGTCAATTAAGTTACTGCTTTGTGAGAAAATGACACACAAACTATCTAACAGAAAAATAAACAATTTTAAGCTAAGGGTCTTAGAAATTACCAAACAGACAAAAAAATAAGAGCAGTTAATAAATGTCTTCAGAGGTCATTCCTAAAAACCACACAGAGAGACAGTATATTCCTATGTCGTATGTTTTTCACTTATCTAAGATGTTTGTGTTTTGTTTGCGTAGATAATAAAACCCGACAAATCCAAAAATAAGTTTTTATTATGGGCAATTAAATTTCATTGATTACCCTACACTCTCAGTCTAGGCATGTATTTTAAACAGTATTGAAGTAACCATCTGCATTCTCCAATCTCTCCACATAATGTCTAGAAAATTTACACTTTATATGAGTGTCCGTTCGCCTATCATGAAGAACAAAAATCTTCAGAATATACATTGGAAATTTGAATAAAATTGATCAAGGGTCTCTACATATACGATGGAAGCAAAAGAAATGTTCCTCGTGAAAAAGTAAACCTACCCAATTGGTGGACAATATTTGTAACTGATGGTTGTTTATCGTCTATCAAGAGATATTTAACTATTTGTAATTTTTCTTTATAAGCATCAAGTGCTTCTAACCAATTGGGTTGTTTAAAATCTACGAAATATTCTGTTCTCTCTAGTCTTTTTAATAAGTTATCGATGAAAGCTACATAATCCAGTTGTATATGATCATGTATTAAAGAGAAAATCAATTGTATAGCATATGCTTGTATAAGTGCTCCACATATAGCCAGTGGATTGGTATGAGTTAACCGAGTAATATCGATAACGATTTTCTGAAATACAATGATAACATAACATAAAGTAAGGCACTAGTTTGTGAATGTTTTAAGATAAATTTATAAGAGAAGACATTGGTTTAAAACCAATTGATGGGTCAGTTAGAGTATAAACAGTTTTTCACTAGTTAAAAAAGATGAAATCCAGGTCAATTAAATTTGGACTGAACTTTTAAATTTAATACATCTGAAATCGAAATCTTGATTGCGTTTTTAAAGTCACGAATGACCTACTTCTAAGTATTACAGAAAAGCACGTCCAACAATAAAGTAAAGCCCATATCCAGTTGTATTCTTGCCTTTCCAATTTTAATCTTATATTACAGGTAACAAAAATTCTTTTACAATCAATGAACATTGATCATATCTTTCGTCAAGCTTTGACAGAAATTTATCCTAGCACATAAGTATATCCCTGATTGTACTTCTTGACTGGTATTAAACTGCTGATATAGGGAGTTATGATAATCTTTGAATTTGAAGTTTCCCATCACGGACTAATTTGGGCTAAACAATCAATGAAATAAATGGAGCATTGGATATCTGTTTTGGCCTAGTATGGGGCCCATCATTGGTGAGCATCCGTGATACCAACAAAGTCAGTCTATAACGTGATATAAAACTAAAAAATACTTTGTTATTAGTGAGCACTACAACCAAACCACCTAGCTCAGAAACTCAAAAATACCAGAAGCGTCCATTCGAGCTGCAAATCTCCATTATTTAACTGGAACGTATAACTGTGAATTAAAATGTCCATGAGTAAATATCTAAAGTATGCAAGCTATGAGGTAACCTGAATTTTGGCCTTGTTCATCTTTGACATTATCCTGTTTTTACTATGTAAGGTGTTTCTTCTTAAGAGATCTGGAAAAGGAACCGGATTAGCAGTGATTTGGAAGAGTAATCACAGAACCAAACGAACATATGTTAGAAGTTGTTAGCCCACAACATTTATGTGAGTGTTTATTTTCGTAGGGTTAACCCCATACTTTCCAAACCTAACTACTGGTATACGAAATCTACGGCGTAAGGAGAAGTATGTTGTATTTAAGATAAACCTTGCTTGACTTTTTCTCTTGTCTGTTGAAATGAATACCATTGAAAGCAACGTGGTCTTATCGGTCATACTGATTAGCACTAATCGGAAGATAAAATATTAGTGGTTATATCTTTGAATAAGTTGGTGTGATGTTTTTTATGGCCTGTAACCTTATAACCTTATAGGGAAACTAAACAGTAACCATTTACAGTCTACTTATTTGGTGGCCAAATTAAATGTCTCATAAACACCATGGCAATATATACCTTTTATTCAATATACATTAGACGTTATCTAAAATTTATGGTCCATGTTCTTAATAACAACTACCAATATCAATCTAATAATGTGGGCAATTAGTGAAACACGTCATTTCAAAAAATCGTCCGAATTACTTCAACAGTGATATTCTATTTATTTTTCACTTAAAACAAGTCGAGATATCCTATTAAATGTAATCCACTATAAGTACGCTTCTCTAATCTGATTGTAAACTAGTGAAATATTATGCTGTAGTACATGATTGTGTGAACTGCTTTAAAAATTTTTTAACAAAGGTTGGAATATCAAAAAGACTCAATACACATAATACACTAGCTACCAGCTTTCTGTTAATGTTTATGAACAACACCAAGGATAACTGAACACCAACGACTATTTCACATACATTATGTGCAACCACCCGGTTTCAAAAAATTGCAATTTGTAATAAACTCCCTGTTTGTCCGAAAATATAATTTTTGAGTATATAAGCAATTACAATTCATAAAATACAAAGAATAGTTGACTGAAGGACAGCTCACCTCAAATTCACGTTTAGGATATCGTAATCCATATAGCGCTGCGGGTGCGATTCTCATGGCTCCGCCGTTGCCATATGATCCTGTCCCATTAAATAAATCAGCAGCGTGAGCATACGGATCTTTATAGTTTGCCATCCTAAGTGAGGAAAAAACGCGTCCAATAGAACCACCATAGCACCTATGTAATCCATTTTCAAAGTAGTCAGTGGTGAACCTGGTAATATGGAAGAGGTCATTTTGAGCACACTTGATAAATCATTCCATAGATGTGACAAAAAGCAACTTAAAGAGTACTGACCTGATCATTTCAATTAGATGAAAACGCAAATATTGAAGCTCATTTATTCAAATCAAAATAAAATGAGCTCCTCAACAATGTACTACAACAATATGGTTTTCAAGAAAGTGAAAAACCAGAAAGAAAACACATAGATAGAGGAAAAAATAAGAAAACTTCCGCTATTGATATTTCCTTTTTGCGTCACAAAGATATTGTTGGTGATGCACTGATTAGTAGGAAGTCATATTACTCTAAACAGTATATATATGGTTTGCGAATAGCAAAGCAAAAGTAATTCATTTTGTTCTGTTTTTTGCTACCAGAATCGTTGGCGAAGCTTTATTGTAACATCGTACAGTAGCATCTGGGTTAATAAATTGATCGAGAGAGATTATATCTTTTATTAACCGATCACTTAGGTATGACTTCGATAATTTGGTCAAGCCTTGTGAATAATATAACCAGTTATTTAGGTACAGTGGGAGCCAAATAAGATGAATGCAAGTTACTATAATTAAAAATCAAATATCGGAGATCATATAAGGAAGACAATTCCTCAATATTTTCGTATAAATCTAATATATGAATTACAAAGCCATTTCTACTTACTCTTTAGCCAAATGTTCTGCATCGAAACTATTTTTAGCCTTTAATGACCGGAGAATCGCAAGACTCATTTGTGTATCATCACTGTACATCAGCTGTTTAGTATCAACTAAGGACAAAGATGAGGAACGTAAACTTTGTACACACAGCCATTGATTGACCTTTGCAGTAGTTCCAAAGGAATGGTGAACTTTGCTGCTGGGCTACCTTCGTACACGAATCCATAACAATCTCCCATCAAGCCCCCAATCAGTACACCACGGCAGAAAGATAAGTAATCCATTGTAAGATAAGTATGTTTGAGTTTCTGGATTACTTGAAACCTGGGTGAATGAAAGATCAACTATTAAAATCAATGTCTTATGTGAGGCTAAGCTTATTGAACAGTCTATACATTAGTCGGAACTATTAAACAAAAAGAGTGGATTCTGTACTCCTGAAAATTTTTGCTCGAGCTGTTGGTGCCTTAAAGTATGTATGGGCATGAATGTTGATAATGTTTTAAGAATGCAGAAAAGACTAGTTAAAAGACTGATCGAGGCCAATAATACAGAATATAGTTTAAACTACCATTGGTTTTAAAATCCATTTTTGGTTTCATTTAGAAGGAATTAAGAAATAGTGTCATTTCTTTAGCAATCGAAACCGACAGCTTCCCGAGATATTACAAAATATTTCGCATATACTTTTTAAGCGACCCTTCTAATGATACACTACAGAGTGATATAAAAGCGTTGTCATTAAAATAAAACTTTAAAGTAACTTATTTACTTTGGAGAAGTGGCTTGGGTTAAATTGAGAAATGTTAGAAATAAGAACTTATACTAATTGAGATGTCACAAAAATATGACTATTTTCTTATTATTAGAAGTGATCTGTTAGCTCATTGAGACTAGGAGGTACCAGTGTACATTATACTCCACGATTTTGATAAGGCGTGAATAGAGAACACAGTAAACAGAAAGCACCCAAAAACACGACCTCGTAGGGAAATACACTGGGGTCCTGCCTCTTCTTCATGTTTACCGATAACATCAGATGAGCTTTAGTTCAGTGGTCTTTCTTTATCCCGACGATACCAAACTATAAAGGTTAAACAAGACTGCTTTAACTGAGTGCAGTTATCTGTATTCTTTTGAACTGCTAAATCTGAAGTACTGGCCTATTAGTCTTGAAATATATATATATTTGCATATGAAAAAGTGACTGGCCTTATCTCCCGAGTACGGGAGGAAGCTCCAATATGAGCCTCGTGGAAGTGCGATTAAAAGCCACAAAATTTTTCCAGATGTTGGGTTTTTCCATAATTTCAAAGTGACTTGAGGGAAAACCACAAAACGCTTGAAGAAATTTCAGGTTTTCCTCAATCACTGGTCAGAATTTCTAACAAGTTTGAGGAAATCCACTGGAGTACGATGGTAGAACTTCAAATGTCGACTTCTAGTAGTGGTAGTAAAGACTGCATTGACCACAGTTAATATGGATGAATTTAAGCCGACTTGAATTGTTTGTGCTGGATGACAAAAGTTTCAGTGTTTAGGGTAATTAGGTCTGTCCTAGGACCTAATTAAATGTCCGACCGAATTTCACACCTCTTGGAGAGTTATTTTCGAAAACGGTTAAACAGTTTTATAACAAAAAAGTGACAAGATTAGAACTAACATAAATCCCCAAACCACACCTGTACTAGCCTCTGTACAGTCAAGGTCACTGTGTTTGAATGATTAGTATAACATAACAAACACGATTTTGGTGGAAAAGAGAGCACATTATTTTTTGTATGAACAAACAACAGTCGAAAACTAACAAATATGAAGCAGATATGCTAGAAAGAGTCCAACGACGAGCTACTAAGATGGTACAAGTTCTGGCTGGCCTTTCTTATGAAAACAGACTGAGACACCTTAACATATTTCCGTTATCTTACCGTAGAGTACGGGGTGATCTAATATTGGCTTACCGTATACTGAACGATGACCTTGGTATTAACATGTCTTATCTTTTGCTTCCGTTTAGAACCGATCATTTGAGAGGACATTCGAAGAAAGTTCAAAAACCGAGATCGAACCGTTTACGTCTGGAGTTCCGTTTCTCGCACCGAGTAGTGAATTACTGGAATTCTCTACCGGAACACGTAATATCAGCACCGTCTGTTAATATATTCAAAACGAGATTGGACCTCCACAGTACTACAAACTGCAAGGATTAATATAGGTCGACAGACCTCCTATCCTTATTACTGAAGACTGAAGACTATGAGAGTATGCTGTGGTGATCAACTGTTGCTGTATATGGAAGCCAGTTAGGCGAAAGCTTCTTCTGTTCCGTCCAGAATCACTTTTTCATTCTCTCGGTTCAATCTGTTAAAAGATATTCATAAAAAGTTGTTTTAATGTGAAAAGTACTCATGCAAATTAGATTTAAAATTCAAAATATTTTCCCATTTATTTGGTTCAGAAGATAATCTTCTTCTGCGTATAAATGAAGTAGATAAAGACATAGGTACTAAATTTCAACAAACCTAAACCGTTTTGTTGAGTAGATCATTATGTTGGCATCAACAGACTATCTAGAAATAATGTTAAGACTTTATCTCACTGGATGTGGTTCTGTGTCGATTATCGGTGGCCTGGTTTGTCTGTCAAAATATGCATTATTTACCACAGATGTGAAGTCAAAACCTTGTCAGCAGAAGGCTATGGAGGTTGACTTAACAAAAATAGAACAGCAATAAGAGAGGAATCGTAAATTGGAAGAATCGTACGGAATGTGAAGGACAAATGATGGAGATTTGCAAATGAACTATTGAATGTATGATTCCTGTATTTTACTCAGAGTTATCGTAAATTTGTATTAGAATGCAATTATTTGTCTTACATGTATAGCTAATTTAGTTTTGGTTAGCAATGAAAGTTTTGATGGCAAATACCCAGTATGGGATGATAAAGTTTACTTGAAACATTATTTATTTCAGTGAGTCACTGGTTATTTAATTTTGTATTGCTCTGAAGTGAACATTATGAATGGACCTATTGTAACGGTATTAAAAATCTTTACATGTGACATTACTAATGTGAGATTTTTTTATGGCAGCGCAGCAAAGAAGAACAAGCCCTACGCAAGCTGATCCTGCAGAACAATGAATAGATCCATTTCGTGTTAAGCTTCCCTTTTTGTACTCAAAACGCATCTTTTAATTTTTAAAATATATCTGTTGTGCCAGTACGCTGTGTTTTTACTTCAGAAGCATTTGAATAACCATGGTCTACTATGATATTAGTACTGATCTAATAATAGACCCAATCCTATGATCGTAGATTTGTCATGATGTAACTGCCCAATCGATAAGATCTTACGTCGAATTCACATCATCGTCTACACCAACTCACTACATTGTAACAATTACCAATACACGATAGAGAGCAAACTTAGGCTAGAGACAGGACAATATATTTAACGTGAATGAAAGATATAAGGTAACATTCATCAGTACAGGGGAAGATGGTCGCGCAATTCCGTGGATTGGTTGATGTGAAATACTAACACCATTGGATGCCAGCTTAGTGGTCCAGTAGGTTAAGTGTTCGCGCGAGACTGGAAGCCCTGGGTTCGAATCTTGCGAGCGAGATCGTAGATGCGCACTGCTGCGGAGTCTCACAATAGGACGAAACGGCCGTCCACTGCTTCCAGGTTTTCAGTGGTGTTAAGAGATCAATCGGTTAATGATCTCAATCAAAAAATTTTTAATTCATATAGTCTTGGTAAATATTATTTATATTGACTAGTTATTACAGTGTATTCAAGTACAAATTTCATATATATGTATTCATAAAAGTTGTGGTAAAATAACGGAAAGATTAAATTATGATTGTTTATAAAATACACTATTTACTGACCTATTTTAATTATAAGACCTTTTTTTCATCACTATCAGAATATTATTTTCATGGATTCACTTTATATGTTTAACAGTATTAATGATTATAAAAATGATGAAAACTTTTGTTATTTGATGAGAAGTGAAACAAGGTCATTGATTCAACTATAAATGTTAAACTGTATATTGATAATTCAATGTTATACTCATTCAATAATCTAATCACTTACATCTCTATTTTCTTAATGATGATGAAAACATCAAGTGTCCGACAGAATTTCGCCAAAGAATGTGAAGATGCCATCAATAAACAAATCAATGTGGAACTACAGGCTGCTTATGATTATATGGCATTCTTCACTTATTTCGATCGAGATGATGTGTCATTTCCGAAAGCAGCTGAATTCTTTCGTAAAGCTTCACATGAAGAACGTGAACATGCAGAGAAATTGGCCAAATATCAGAACAAACGTGGTGGTCGAATAGAATTTATGGATTTAAGAGCAGTTCAGAAAATTGAATTAAATGATCTTGAAGAAGCATTTGAAATTGCTCTAAATTCTGAAAAGTCGATTTATCAGGTGAATTGACTAATCAACTAACTATTATTATTATTATTATGATTATTATTATTAGCTTTATTCAATATTATATTTTTGGTAAAATATAGAATTCTCAGCGTAAAGTATTTCAACAAGTTTCCGTTTCTTTCTTCTTGGTCGGTCCTGGCGATAAATATTCAGTGATCACCAGTTAGATGTTAGCAGTCCAGTAAATGAACATCTGAATAATGTACTTTCTTTTCGTTGTATATTGCCAGCAACCACATTCTCTCTTTTTGAGCTTTTTGCAACTTTGACAACGAAAGGTTTTACACTTTTCAGAAACGCAGCAGAATAGGTTATGCGATTAATAGACATAATGATATATTAAAACAAACAAAAATAGATAACTTGTAGAAATATCTAGATGACAGGAACAGGTAGCCCAGATGATCAAGCAGGGCGCTCTCTAATCATTATTAATAAGTTTATTTTTTGTAAAGTAAGATATTTTTAAAACTTTTTTCTTTTTTTTCATTTCAAAATTAATTATCATATAAAATTTCATGTTAATGAATAAAGTTAATATCTGATTATGAAACTGGCAAAGAAACTACTTGAATTCAGATACAACTAACTGATTTTCTTTGATCTCATTTGATTTAATTGCAAAGGAATTTCAAATTCAATATGGAACACTGAAAATTGTGATTTAACATTTGGTAAACAAACTTTTAAACTAATAAAAGTTTCTAAGTTTCTGACTGGGACTTTTATTACTATTCATTTGGCTTTGTTACGTTGTCCTCTCTCTCTGTTATCACTGATTAGTCGATTGATGATTAAATAAGCCAGACATAATCTTTTCAATATTTTTATAACGACTAGGAATTTTTTTTGATTTATTCTACTCTATTATTAAACAATTTTAATATTTTTTTAATTGTTGATTATGTCATAATTTTGGTCACTAATTTCATTGCTATATAAATTGAACTTGGCAACTTGACTAATGTAATTATTAAACGGAATAGGCAACGGCTCAATAAGAAGTTCTATAATCGAACACCTTGTGAACACAGGTCACTCAATCAGGACAGACTCTGCGTTCAAAGTCATCTACAAGGTAAGTAGAAGCCTTCCTAAGACAATTAGACTGCATCTTCTTTGCATTGCCGAGGCAATAGCCATACATTTTGAAAAACCAGAATTATGTGTACAAAAGAGACTGGTACAACCTCTTCTTCTACCATGGTCTTAATGTATTAAAATTTTTCTCCTTCTTCATACTCTTGTTTCCTTACAGCCACCTGCTTCACCTTCCATTTTCCCTTCAAATCTTCTACCCCCAACCGGTTTGTTTTTATTTCCACGATCATTCCGATTACATTTCATCTTTGTTATTTTATCATGCTGAGCCATCCTTACCCGATGAATACTTAAGCCATTAACTATCAAACTTTCCTTGTTTTAAAATTTTTTTTTCTAATACCGTTGTTTATTTAACCTCACTGTCACCATGTATAACAGAAGTTTATTATCAGTATTATTATCACCCTGTAAAAATATGTACATATATTTGCGATTGTGCAGCTTTGAAAATGAATTCGCCGAAAAGAGAACTCTTCGCTGAACTAATCTTTCTTTCTTATTTAATGTAATTATGATTAATTGTCACCAGTGAACGGAATTATCTATATTACTGGTGTTGAAAGATCAATGCAGTAGCAATAGGTTCACCTGTAAATCATTTGTAAATCTATTCGTGAACAAATTATGAGGAAATATCTTCATGTTTATACTCAACCTAAAAATATGGCAAAGGTGTTCTGATAATACCGTCATCATATCAAAGTGTGATGTATATCATCTATTTATAAAGAAATTAAGCCAAAAAATAACCCAGTAATAGATTCAATTCAGTATTGGATAGTTGTAAATTACTTGATCATACAATCATTTTATTTAAAACTAAATCCAAATCGTCTATATAGAAATGAGGTGATAAGACAAAATTTTGACCTGATGCCCAACACTTTATTCTTACAAACTAACATGGTCACAACAACACTGTTAAGAATTTTACATCACATTAACATATTCTATTTTCAAATCCAACAATCTGTAAATATCCGTTATGTTTACCTGAATTCTTTATTCAACAACTCAGAATTATTTCAAACAAACAAACAATGATCGAGTTTAGACAACATTAAATAGAATTACTTTATATTTGTTCTATATAAAATCAAAATTGCAAAATATTATACTTATAATGTATCGTTGGAAGATTGTGTTATA